ATTAATGAATAAGGGATGATCACCCTTTGCTGACAGGGAACAGATTTACATTGATTTCAGTTTCCTGGCATAAACACACTGCTCATTCTTCACAGAGCCATTGAATATGATCATTCTCTCTCTTTCTCAATCTCTGCAGTATCTTTTGCATCCGGTATTATAAGTTCTACATGTACTGGTCAAACACATTCTAAGAGCAGTGGGCACTGTGCTTGCATACAGATGAGTGAGGAAACAAAGGTTAAATTCTCTACACATTTACAAATGGTATGTGGTGCCAAGGGGAGCTGAGTGGTCATTTTTGCGCTATCCAAAAAATGCCAATTTGTTTTATCTTACATTTTTCCCTAATTGCTTCAACAGGTGAAATAGATGCTCAGCAATACTAGCAATAAACTGCTTAACCAGTATAATCGTGAACCTGCTAATTAAAGGCAGATACATAGAAATGTTTATAAAAGGCAGCAACCTAGGCAGGAAGTTAGCCACAGGGTATGCTTCCCCTGAGTGTTGTGAAGGGGGTGAGTTGTATAATTGTGTGTTCGATGGAAAAAGAAGGACAGCAGCAAAATAAAGAAAACAAGAAAATACATGGAGCTTTGACTCCAAATCTCCATTTCTGGCTCTTAACTGATTGCATTACAACCTCTGTTAGTTCCTTTTTAACTTCTGTCTGCCTCTGAAAAGTTTTGCTAACCCTTATCTTGAGATGCCTTTTCTCATCCTTGATAAGAGCTTTTCATTTTTAACTATCAAGGATTACCTATATTGTAACATGTCGTCCCTTTGTACACTTTGTCTGCCTCTACTTAATGTACTATTTATTTTTACAACCCGTTGACAGAGTTGACTGAATGTACTCAGGGGCATACCTAGCTTTTTTGCTGTCTGACGTGGTGGGGGGGGGCGTGATTTAATCACTGTTTGCCATGAGCTTGGTTGGACTCCCTGGTTGGCTTCTCGCTGAGCTCCTGGCAATCAGAGACAGCACTGATGTCCCTGCAGAGAGCCGTGACTGTCACTCACGGCTCCCTGCAGGGATTCCCCCGCTCCCATCCTCCAGCACTGACTGGCGGAACAGAGGGGGCGGGTACAGCTGGCTCTGCCTCTAGATAGTCAGAGCCAGCTGTCAATCATGCCGCTGGGTGGATCTCGACAGTAATGTCGGGATCCGTCCCAGCTGCGGCGGTCTCAGCATACCGCAAGCTGTATCTCGCGATATACTGAACTTTGGGTCACGGGAGGATGCTTATTTTATGTCCCACCGTGACCCTTAGGAGAACTATGGGGAAAAACACTTACCTCATAGTTCTCCTTTAAGACTTTTCTTGTTCAGCAAAATCACTTAATTCACCCATTTACTCTAAAGACTAGAGTGGATGGAGGAATCTCCCCTGCCAGCTATTGGATTCTTACAGTTGGAGCCTGTGGTTGTCAGAATACCCGAATAGTGACCGCAGTTGATTGGCTACAATCACTATTCAACCAACAATTTTTCACCCAGCTCCTTTGACACAATCAATTGATAAAACCGGGAGGTGCTGACAGGGCCACCCACAGTTCGAATTTCAGCCGATTCAGCAGGGAACAGAAATTCGGGGGGTGCGGGCAGTACCGGGTGAGACCATCAGAGGGGCTAACATCAAAATGACTGTCAGTCATTTTGGTGTCACCCCCTCTGAAAAGTCGTGTACTTGGTCATGGACTGAGTGCCCGACAGCTGCACAAAAGAGTCCCCTCCTCTCTTTGCCAGCGTTCACCACCAAGATGGCCATCGGCAGTTACGTGCGCGGGACATCACTACGCATGAGCGTGGTGACGACACGCTCATGCATAATGCCGTCCCAGTAGATTACACCCAGCGGACGTACTGATTGACACCCGCACTCAGGATGCCTCTGATCGAACACACATATTATGAGTCCAGAAGTGTATTTTATTTATTCCACAGGTGTCAAAGGAAAATAAAGGACAGCCAATGCATTTTTGGGACCAAACAATGCCCCTTCATCAGGGCTTTGGCAACTGTTACAGAAACACTTGGACTGCAACCTAGGAGCCCGGATAAATCAATCACAGGGTAATGTAATGTATACCGAGTAGGTGCCTGTGTTAAAGGAGAAGTATTGGGATTGTAAAATGTACTCTTCTCAATACTTAGAGCTGATGTTGGACACTGCAGCTGCCTCATGTTGGCTCTATAAATCGAGAAATTAATGATCACAAACCGCTGATCTATGCAGCTTCTCGCTGCAGAGAGTGATGACTGTCAGTCACTAACCCCTTCCCCCTCTTTGTTCCTCTGGGGCTCATTGGAGGGACATAGAAGTGGAGGGGGTACAGCTGGCTCTAGCTCTAGAGAGGCAAAGCCAGCTATCAATCAGACAGGTGGATCCCAACAATACTGTCGGGATCTTTCCTGACTACAGTGCGGCTCTGTGCTGTCAGCATATAGCAGATAGTAGCACGCTATTTGCTGAGTTTGGATTACAGGAGATCATTAGTAAATGTCCTCCTGTGACCCAAAAGAGAACTATAGCAAAAAAAAAGGTTTAACTATAGTTCTCTTTTAAGCAGCCATCAAAGCCATGATGGAAGGGGATTATTTGGCCCCCGAAACATGTTGGCTGCTTTTTGTTATCCTTTCAACACCTGAGGAATGAATAAAATACATGTCTGGACCCTTAATACAGTATATGTGTTTGGTGCTCCCTCTGGTTAGACTTCTCAAGCCAGGTGACCCTTATATCAGTAGGACCCCGGCTTTTTGGAGAGCTGCCGAACATAGGCAAATGGACCAAAATAAAGTTTATATTGTAGCTGTGTGTCAGCTTCTGTATTGGTGAACCGAAAAAAAAGAGATCATCCAAATACTCAGAGTACAGTCACTGTAAAAAATATGTGAGACATAAAATCTGCAACTATCTATGCATCATTGAGACACACTAGAGGTAATCATGACACGCTAATCAGGGCTCCTAGGAGCACCGTTATACTTCAAGGACAGGTTGATGTTTCATATTTCACAAGCAGCTTCTTTTGCTTCATCTGAGGCATACTGGGTCCCATAACAACTGGAATTTCTCACACTGCCAAAACCTGTTATATACAGGCAAACATTTCTAAGGCTAACCTCTGCAAACCATTGCTATTTGAAATAAATCATGACTATAAAATCTTGTATAAGAAAGCACAGAAAGTAAAATAAATCAATTGCAACGTTTTCCCACGCTGCTCCTTTGTAATCTGTAGATGTGTGTAAATGTGTGCCCCCAGAACTGCTGTGCTGACACTGTATGTATTTAGTCCTCTTCCTAGGCCCTGCTACAAGAATGGCGAGGAAGAGCTACTGCCCAGACATGCATGTACCATAGTGATCACACTGTCTCTTTATGCTCCTCAGTACAATTGGACACTGTGTGCTTTTGTGATATACAGGGGCACAGCATCCCATCCTCACAGACCATAAAACAATCACAGCCTAAACTTCAGACGGAAGGAGGACTTGTATTTCTCTTTATTCATCCATCAAATGAGACAAGAACATATCTGCGTGTAACCTATCACATAAGTAACAAGTGCTAATACAAGGCTAAACTATGATGCCTCTCTAATACATTCTGAAATGCTCCATCATATAAAGCTCTATCAGTATGGAATGGTAAGCAATAGCCAACAACAATATATCAGCTTTCACATGGACACTAGGTTACATGAGAAATTTTTAGTTGAACTATTGTGAATGAAGTACAATGGCAGACTGACGGCTAAACCACGCAAGAGCTGAAAGTCTTTGCAACAGGAGAGTCCTTAGGCTCCATTCACACATAGCGGTTTGAAATTCAGCGCGTTCGTCTGCCACAAAACGCACACATTTTAAGTATATACACGCAGTTTCTGTACTTTTACTTTTTTGCGTGATGCACGTATTTGTACCGCACGGACATTGCGCAGGTGTGAATAAGCTACATTGGAATGTATTAGTTTTTATGTTTTGCGCTTACAAATACATGCGGAAAATCGCTAACGTGTGAACTGAGCCTTACTATTAAAATCTTGTGAGCTAACCATATAAAATTTCATTATACATATGGCGGCTGATCTGTGACAAAATTCAGGTACCGTATGTTCATGTCAGATCAAGAGAACTCATGCAGCTTCAAATCTAAAAATCCTAATATGTGTAGGGCTTATTTCTGATTGGTTGCTACGATCCTAAAAACTATACTGCATTGGATTATTAAATTATGCCTGCAGAGTTATATAAGCATTCATTATTGGGCAGCGAGGCCACTGAGGTTATGTACTGATGCAAAAAGGAACATGCAGTAATCCACACCAAACAACCAACTTTCGTTGTTCTCTAAGTGAAACATAACCGGTTGCCATGGGTTACTGCAATTTGCTTTTTGCCTTTTATATGTGAATAAATCCCATTATGTAATAATTGTATTACATGGTAAAAACAAAAACAAGTTTTATGATAATTACACTTTGAGTGTCACAAAAGCATGCACGGTTCCAGGCATCACCATGGCTGGCCATAGACTTGGTAATTAAAATCTGGAAGCTGTGTTCAAATTTAAAAAAAAGAGCAATATAGCAGTCTACAGTCTACAATCTACAATCTGATGAACACTTTTTAAAATGAAATGTATTGAAAAAGCATTCCAACTTCCATTTGACTGGTTTCTATCAATTTTCACAGTGGTTTTGATCTCTTGATGGTTCACAAGTGGGAAATCACTACAGCAGTGTATGGTGGATTCCTGCAAACCTTTTTTATTTTATTTTTACTGAAACCTTATGGGAAAGTTTGCAAAGCTGCCAAGTGTATGAGCAGCATGAAAGCTTCTGGAGATCATTATTTTTCCCCAGTCTGTTTCAGTGTCACCTTTTGTTTGCACTTCTTTGGTTCCTTGTGATAATCCCGTTACTCTGGCTGTCTGAGAAGTGATAGAAAACATCCCCCTTCCCCCCCTATCCCATCCACAACTCACCGAGACAAGGAACTCCAGGGTCCCCACATAGTCCCTCTCAGTCTTCAATAGCTCACTCAGCACACAGACCCTGAGCCGGAGCTGCCTGTCCACATCCCTTCCATCACTTCTATGCTGTTCCTCGGTCATGTTCTCACTGGATTCAGCGCTTGATCACCCACAAAGGACAGAACTTTTCCAAACTTCTAGGGGAAACTTTTCAACACTGTTTCTTTTTCTTCAAAGGCATTGCTGCCTTCAGATCAATCCAGGCTGCAAGAGATCCTTGTGTATGAAATCCTCTAAAGTTTACAAACAAGACTAGGAAAAGAAAAACAAAAAGATAAAGAATGTTTCCCTGTGCCTGCAGATAGCCAAGCCAGTGGTATGGGAGCAGAGCAAGCAAAATTTGGACATTAATCAAAAGATTGCATCCATGTGATTCCAGCCCCCTTCATCCTGGAACCAGCCTCTTTCCCACCACCCACCCCCAACAGTGCTGTCCCCTCCTTCATCCCCCAATGAATGGCAGGAAAGAGAGCAGAAATCTTGGGAAGTGTATGGTGCCAACAATGCCCCCTGTACACAATCAGCGCAGGGTGAACACTGGACCCAGCCTGCAATAGGATGTCTGTGCTGCAGTTCAAGTGTGGGGCAGAGGCACAAGGCGTCTTCCTAGGCACAGGCTGAGCTCTGATTTCCAGGGAACATAGGATGCAAACTTGTGTGTCACAGACAGAAGTTTAGCTTCTGGTTTAGCTACCCCCTCCCTTGTAATCAGGGCACTGGGCGCTCCTGCATATGCAATTAAACACAGGAAAGAAAAGTCATTTGCAGCATTTCTCAGCAATGCAATGCTCCTTAGGTCTAAAAAGGATGGGAGAGGGAAACTGCTAGCAGATGTGTGCACAGTCAGCAGGATTAAGTTGCTGAAGGCAAGTACCACTAAGTTTACTTTCGTGTCCTAGGAAGTTTTCAAAGCCAATCAAGCAACAGTGTGGCGAAGAAAACATTTAGGATCTGCCATGTCAAATAGTTATGCAACAAATTCTGTGGCCCCTTAGGTTGCCCAAAGCGTTCCCCTGGGACCGGTGAGGTATGCATTTTGTCAGATCTACGTTGCTGTTTGTGTAAACAGCGGGCGATGATGTGTGCGGTGTTATGACCCTTGGTAACTAATTGGCTTTAAAACGATCTTATCACCATTTTAAAAATAGGAAACAGCAGATCCCTGCAAAGCAAACAATTAAAGGGGTTCTATGGTCAAAAATAAATCTGTATTTCTATATTTAATTTCCCTAGATTCTTTCACACTCCTAATAAACCTATCGATCTATAAGTTTATAAACATACTCATTGAAGATGCCTATAGAATGTACTCAATTTATTTATTTAATACTGAAATTTATATAGCGCCGACAATGTACGCAGTGCTTTACATAGTGTACAGTCACATCAGTCCCTGCCCTCAATGAGTTTACAATCTAAAGCTGCCCATACACCTTGCGCTCATAGGACAAAACTTTTCGTACGGAGGCCCCATCCTGCCTCGATCATCGCAAGGATCAGCCTCTAGTTTAAAAAAACACCTGGACGAATTGCGGTAATCGACCGCACGTATTTTCGTTTGCTCATGAGCCGCGTTAATCATCCGAATTTTGACGTACGGAAATGCCACCAACCTTAGCGAAAATCGTACAATTGACCAAAGTTTTTCATACCTGCTGGATAGTCAAAAGTCAATCTACTGTACAGTATTTGCGGTTGTACACTGCCCATATACCTTACATAATCGTAAGGTATATGGGCATGCATACATATTTAGACAGGAGCCATTTAACCTACCTGTCTTTGGAGTGTGGGAGGAAACTGGAGTACCCAGAAGAAACCCACCCAAGCACAGGGAGAACATGCAAACTCCTTGCAGATAGTGACCTGGCTGGGATTCAAACCAGGGACCCCCAGCACTGTAAGGCAGAAGTGCTAACCACTATGCTCCTCAATACACTGACACAATTTAATTCAACCTTGTGAATGTGCACTTCCTTGTGTCACCATTCTAATCAAGCCTCCTGTCTGAACTACAACTAAATGTGTGAGCTTCCCAAAATGTAACATCATCACTGCTTGCTGGAAGCAATGCATGATGGGATATATTGAGAAATTGAGCTTGCATCACATCAAGCAGCAGGGAAAGAGACACAAAGCACATTGGGAATCCAGGAAGTTGTTGAAAGTGATGGGCAGAGGGAAGGCAGCACTCACTACATTACATTAGCAAAAACAACTATAGCAGGACTGAACAAATTCCAGGAGGCAGGTTGCCAATGCTCCTTAAAAATTACAGCTGGCACCTAACTTTATAGGTTTTCTCTAGTTGTCAATGGAGTTGGCTCCTGGATTGGAAAGACTGTCTCCTGAATTCCATACTAATTTGTCCACCCCGAATTATAGTATGTATTATATCACAATGCTGATGTTATATCAAGATAGTACTGTATATGCTGTGACTTTAGAACTCCTTAGACACTCATCTGTTCTGCTGCCTGCACACTTAGCCCTATTCACACCTCGGCTGTGGCAGAGCAGCCAACTCCAAGAAGTGCAAGCACCTTTATTTTTAAATCGCATCGCACCACATGGAATGGTAATAGGTTACTATTCCATGTGGTACGAAATAACGCACATGCGATGGCTAGGTGCATTGGGGTGCAATTAAGAAATAATGGCACTGTAGCGCACCAAACATTGTAGCATGCGATGAGAGATCACATGTGGCATTGCACATGCTACTGCATCCCATGGATGTGAACGGAGCCTGAAGCTAATCATACACTGTTAGATTTCTCTCCTTCAGTCCAGCAGGCTAAATGAGAGCAATCTATAGATTACCCCATCCACACTAAACTGCGTGTATGGACAAATATCCCCTGATGGCTATTGTATACTGACAGTCGGCACCATTGACTGTCAGAATATCTTAACAGTAACTGCAACTTATTGTTCAGTTTACAATTTTCCACCCGGGTGCTTAGATATTTCAGTTGAGGTTTATTGAGCTGGGTGGTGCTAGCAGGGTCACTCACTGTTAGAATTTCATCCAATTCCTGTGAATCGCCCCAAATTCTAACAGTGTATGGTCAGAATTGAAGAGATATTCTTGATGAAAGATCTTCTACATTCAACACTTCTGGGAGTGACAGATGTCAAAATCCTCATATTGCCCTCTGTGGTTCCTTTCAGGATACAGTAGTGACTTACAGTGGCCACACACATTTCAGTCTCATCATACAATTATTCATTCAGTGTCAATACAATTATCATATTAAACAATGTAAATGTCATCTCAATCAAATATGTCACCTTCTCTGGCTGGCCACCAGAGACATGAGATTTCAATCTGACTATTTTCTCATCAACTTGTGAATTTTGGCAAAATGCGGGTGACCCTGTGTTCGGTACCACTTCCCCATTCTTCCCACAGAGATTAGGGTTTGTCAGACATCATTATTATCAGAAGGAACAGAGAGAGAGAGAGAGAGAGAGGACAGAGATGGAGGGGAAGAGAAGGCTGTGTCCCTTTCAGCACTCTGACATGGTGCCCATTACATGCAGTACATACAAGGTACTTGGTATATAATATAAATTAATTAATTTAAAATATTATAAACTCTAAGCATATGTATTAACATTAACTGCAGATGGGGTTTTTTAATTTTATATTCACTGACCAGGGTAGTTCTACACATGCTCTAAGCTGCAATGTCTCTAGTTCAGCAAGCCGCACTGGGAGCTGACGTCTCACTCTTCTTCCTTGAAAGTGGTGGGCTGGTGACACTGGGGAAGAAGTGTTTCTGTTGGCAGTGGGGGGAGGAGTTAGCTGCCCACTGCCTACCGTCAAAGTTTCATGAACAGTTTCTGACATCCGCAGACTTTAAAGTGATATTAAAGTCACAAGGTTTTTTTCAACCTACTTCAAATGCTGACCAAATCGCTTATAATTGATGCTGCTCCTTGATGTTTGAAAGTTTAGGTTTCCTGCAGGGTCAGATGGTCCCCTGAGCACTGGCCCGGATATCCTGATTTAGGGTGGCTCCTTTGCCCCCACAAGGTCCTTTGGAGCCACCCATGTGTGTGCTAGTAAGCAGTGTGTGTCTCTACAAATATCCCGGCACAGCAGACAACCCACATGCCTTTTCCTTGCTCCCCACTCCTACTTCCTCCCCCAAGCTAGTAGATAAACAGTTGCTGGACACTGATCTGTCCCTTGTGATCTTGTACTAGACAGGAAGTTCAGGGTTAGCTGAGAGAGCTGAGAGAGTTGGAGTCAACTGTTCTGAAACACGATGACTGTAAGTTCTTGGGGGAAAAAAAATTAAAGAATACTTTGCTGGGCAATGTATATTTGTTTGATCTGGATTTATTATTGAAAAAATGGTTTAAGAGTTTAACATTACTTTGTGGTCCGAACCCAACCAGGTAAGTGATACCCTAACGCCACCCAGGCCTGTGGTGTGCCTTGGCCTTCTCAGGACAGTATGCCTAAAAGGGGACATACCCAGTGATCTTGAATGAAAAAGGGGTATGGGCGGGTGGGGATGCTCGGAAACCGCCGACGTGGGAGCACAGTAAGCCGTGCCGTCTTAAAGGCACAGGCCCCTCCTACAAATCCTGCGGCCAGCCTTCATACTTAACAGATGGGGAAAAAAGGATTTTTTTTACAAACTGTAAAAATACAGATGGTTAGCAACCCTGAATACCATGTGTGTTGTATCAGTTGAGAGTTTAAGTGATGATAGATTGCTTGTTTGTGATCGCTTGTATCTAAATACCGAATTGCTATTTTTTGACTATCCATAGCAGGGGTAGCAAACCTCCGGCCTTCCAGCTGTGGTGAAACTACAAATCCCATGATGCATCTCTCTTCGGGGGTCATGTCTGTGGCTGTGAGAATCTTGCAATGCCTCATGGGATTTGTAGTTCCACCACAGCTGGAGGGCCGTAGGTTTGATACCCCTGATCTATATGACTAGAAGAAGGAAGCACGGAGCACAGTGGAACCAGAAGTGTCAAATGTAGAAGATGTTTCAGCAAGGTTATCAACAACTTTTTGGGGGTTCAAAGGCGTGGCAGCAGGGCAGGTGAGAATAATTTGCTTTGCAGTGAGGAAGGATTGGAACCTCTTTTTACTGCTATCTGGGGCTCCCTTAGAACAATTTCCCCTTGCTTTCTGTTCTGGTGACAATAGTTTTCCCAGACATAAAGCAAAGAAAAATTGGCAACATTTCTCAGACAGCAATATAAAATTGATGAGGGTTCTAGTATTCCCCTATTCTACAAAAAAAAAAAAAAACATGCTTTTGGAGACTGACCCTCATTTAATGAGTGGTAAAACCATTGTCAACAGGGCAGAATATAAAGATACATCTCTGTAATG